GTGACAATGAATATATATATGTTCATGTATAACTGAAAAATTGTGCTCTACACTGGAATTTGACACAACATTGTAAAATGATTAGAAATCAATAAAAAATGTTAAAAAAAGAAGACAAGATGGAAAAAAGTGAATTAAACATTTAAATTAAGAAGCCAGGTTATGGGATGGGGGTGGGGGAGAATGAAAGCAATACATTAAACCAAAAAATTTAGCAAAGGACTCAAGATAAAAGTAGAAATGAACTGAAACAGAAAACAATAAATGAATGAATGAATAACAAAATTAATCAAGAATACATGCTCAACAGAACTGAAGGTTGGGCCTGATTTGGTAGAGAGAGCTTTTCATATTTTACTGAGTTTACTTCTTAACTGTTTGAATCTTTCCGAATGAGAAAGCACTCATATATTCGATGTTATATAAAACGATACAAAATAATGTGAAAATACCTAAGAAATTCTAAGAAGGCTACAAATGCAAGAAATAAAAAGATTTTTATTCCAATATTGATTCAGATGTTATTTTTTAATTTTCATTAAGACTGAAAAAGATGCTTTAGTAAGTCAAACACCATTCAGTATCTTTACTTACAGAAATGCTCAACTGAGTGAAGGGATCACTACATCCCTCAGCTTTGGACCTGCATTTCATGGGTATTTAGTGCTCATTCAGCATCACCCCACATGAACCACTCGTGCTCGTCCCTGAATTATTCCCACTCAGCTGGCTTTGTGCTGCCTGACCCACCCGCTAAGGCCCTGCCTAATATCATCAGCCAAGTGGTCCTTTGGTCTGAGCTATCCAGCGACATTCAGGACACCATGCCCTTGATGGTTCTGGGTACCAGAAAGGCTAACTCAAATGCCACTGGCAAGGATAAAAATCTCTTCCTCCTCTCTTGTCAGGAGCTAACAAAGCTTTCATAGTCTAAATCAAAAGTTGCACGTTTGTGGTCTAAAGACCAAATCTGGCCAGCAGGCATACTTTGGGCCACAGAAAATAGTGAATTAGTTACCAACATTAAAAACAAAAAAGCAAAAACAAACAAACAAACAAAACGGGTGAAACTGAACACAATCAAACCCAGATACTTATTTGGCTTCCCTTAAAAATGGAAAGCCACCGGGCCCCTATTTCCACATGATGACAGTCAGCCAAGCTGTGTAGACTGTTCCTGTGTACCCACCACTCCCTGCCCTGCCCTGCCCTGCTGCCAGGCCAAGTGCTGTGCTTGTCATCCCACCTGTTACCTCACTGTTAACCTCGTTCACAGCACTTAAAATACTCATTTTAATTAGCACTGTCTGCCAGAAATCCCAAGATTTCAGAATCCAAACTACATCTCCCAAACTGACTCTTCTACCCTAAGTAGCACAAAAATTCTTTGTCAGACTATGTGTCCTGATTCATAGTTTGGGAAATACTGTCACCATAATTATGACTTAGTGATGTGACGACTGAACTCAGCACTGTGTGGACTGGCCAGGGCACCTCACCAACATCGCTGCCACTCTCACTTATTGATTCAATCAATTCCTCAATTCACTTGCTTAACAAAGATTTGCAAACTAACTCCATGCCAGGCGCTTTTCTAGGGAACAGAGACACAGCAGCCACCGAGGTAGCACACATCTCTGCCATCACAAAGCTTAGATCTGGGGTGGGGGAAGGGTGTCTCAAGCCTTAAATATGTAACTTGCAAACAGCCTACAGAAATAGTCCTTGGATGAGTGGGGGCTCCACGAACTATTATGTGTCCTCTGCTCCCGGAGATTTTGCAATATGGGAACACCTATCAACTCCTCCCTGGGGTTTCCAATTTCAGAGCTGACAGGCACAGGAAATATCCAACCTACCCCCCCATCTTTGGTCATAGGAGAGGCAATGGGCTCTGAAAGAGTGTGACTTAAACAATGAGCTTCTAGAAACTCACAGAGTTTCTAGAAAAGCCCCAACTACCCTCTCCAGACTTGCTGAGTCCCAGTCACTTGCTTTTTTTACTCTCTAAAACAGAAGCCACAAGCTCCAGCACCTTCAGCAGATGGAACGTAGCCTGAAATGGCAATGTAGTCCCGCTGTCATACAATAGGGAGTGGTGCGGACCAGGGCAAACTGAAAGGTGCATACCTATAATAAACGTTTTCGAATTCGAAATAAAAGAACAGCAATAATGATGACAGCACAACAGCAGGCCAGCCAATGAAACACACTGGTGAGCTGAAGCTGGCCTGAGCTCACGGGTCCAGGTCCACATCCTCTTCCACTTACCACTATATACTACAACTCTTCTCTTGAATTTAAGCATAATTTTTTTTTCAAGTCATATTGAATAAGAAATTCTCTCCTACATGCCCCTATTTTCTCTGAATTGTTTTTTCTCAAGTTTGAGATAGTTTTTGAATGTGACTAAAGTGAGAAAACCAAATACGAAGGATGCATATTCATTTCCTTAATATAATAACGCCTTCATATAACAAAACAAAATTAATTTTCTATTTATGGAAGATTCACCTCTTTTTTTAAAAATTGAAGTCTGGTCAGTTTACAATGTTGTGTTAGTTTCTGGTGTACAGCATAGTGGTAGTGTCATATATGTGTGTGTGTGTGTATATATATATATATATATGTATGTATATATTTCTTTTCATATTCTTTTTCACTATAGCTTATTACAAAGTGTTGAATATAGTTCCCTGTGCTATATAGTAGGACCTTGTTGTTTATCTATTATATATGTATATGTGTATATATATATATATATATGAGTTAGTATCTGCAAATCCCAAAATCCCATTTTATCCCTCCACCTGGCCCCTTTCTCCCCTGGTAAGCATAAGTTTGTTTTCTATGTCTGTAAAATTCACCTCTTTAAATAGCCAAAAGCCTAAATAAAATAATTTCATATGAAAATATTTCTAAAACAGATTAAGACTTCTTTGCTTTTTAAAAAACGTATGTATGTTAAACATAATTTAGTCTTTTCTTAATACTAATGGTCAATATTCTGGATAGAAACAGATCTGTAATACAGGAGACATTGCCAGGAGCTATTATGCTTTTGTATCTTTCATTTATTAAGTGACATCCTCTTCCACTGAGTTTCCAGAAGTGCAGGGTATGGTTTGAAGACAAGGGCAGAGCCCCATCCCATCCCTTTCTGGCTTTTGTGAACCTCCAGATTTTTGTCTTTTTGTTTTTTACTTTACAGTTATCTTAATTTTATATAATATAGAAGAGATTTTAACTTTGAACTTAAACATTGAATTCTTTTATAGTTTCCAAATCCAAGCCACAAAGTCCAAATTATCTCTAAAATGTTTCTAACATTTGCAGTAGACTCTAATCATCAAGCCTTCTGATTCAGAATCCCCAGGAGTTCTTCTGTTAAAAACTGTGCTACCTCCTGACAAACAATTCTCTTAGCTTAGAAATTAGACCTAAAATATGCATCTTAAACAAATACCCTGAGTGATTCTTGTGCATATCAAAGTTTGAGATCCACAGCTCTGTTCTTTATAACTGTGGTTCTTAAATATTGCTGCAAATTACAGCCTTGTGGGGCACTAAAAAAAGAGGAGCCGTGCCTGAGCCCAACCCCAGGGTCAGAATCAAAACCTCTGTATCATAGGACCTGGGCATTTGTGTTTGCTTTATTTAGTTAGCTTTTTACTTTTTATTTTGAGCTAACTGTAGACAATACAGAGTGATTCCACGTACCCTTCATCTGGTTTCCCCCATGGTAATAGCCTGCAGGACAGTAGCACAATCCAGAAACTGACATCAATAAAATCCTGCTAAGCTTTTTAAACTAGGTCTTCTTTTTCACTTTTCTCAGTTTTCTTCCTCTGCTGGTGCTTAGCTCTATTGAAGCAGCTTATCTCCTCCTTAATGTGCTAGTTTCTTAAAAATTTGTTTTGAAAAAAATGTAAAACCCACAGAAAATGTGTCAGTGTAGTGTAACAGATGGGTATAATGAATGCCCAAATACCCTTCACCTACATTCACCAATTCTTCACCAGTTCTCAGAGATCTGAGAACAAGGATCTTCTCGTCCATCACCACAATGTAATTACCGAATTCAGGAAATTTAACATCAATACAGTATTATTTTCTAACACAATATAGTTCATTTTCCAATTTCATTCATGTCCCCAAACAATCCTTAAATTTATAGCAATCCCCCCCACCCCCACAAAGATCTCCCATCACATAACTGCTGCATGACTTTAGCGTCCTTTAATCTGGAACCCTTTCTCTGTCTCTTATGCAACTGACATTTTAAAAGACTCCAGGCCAGTTGTTTTCTAAATTGTCCCTCAATTTGGCTTTGTCTGGTTGTTTCCTTATTGGATTTTACTTTTGAAAAACATTTTTCATCGATGTTCCCAGCTATGGGCTCACTGGGGAAATACTTGGCAGAGAAGAGGTCTTCTCCATCATCATTTAAAACAGTTAAGCATAACTGATGGATGGCCACCTCTGAACACCTCGCCCCCAGGCAGAACATCAATAATATTCACAACAGACCCTGCCCCGAAAGAGCTAGGTACTTTCGGAAGCAAAATCAGCTCAGCGCAGTTCCTGGCCCGTGACTGTTAATTCCATGGAACAAGGAGTCATGGGGTCTGAGCTTCTCTGAGGTCTGGGTGAACAACATCATTCCTCCATTTCCACAAACTACAAAATGAGAATGAAAATGGCACTTAAATCACAGGGTTAATGAATGCAGTGACGGATGTCATACACTCTGCACAGTGCTTGGCGCAGAGTACCTGCTCATCTAATATGAGCTTTTACTCTCATTAGAGAAAACAGTGTTACTGAGTCATATATCTTGCATGTTGTTTGAAATCTTCTGGTGGGTGGGCCAGAGTATTTTCATTAACACCAAATCCTGTTATGATCTGAGCTGTTTTCCCGGAAATCCATGAAGATTCTCTGGTGGGGTCTCCCCTATGGACCAGCTGCTTGGTATGGGAAAGACCCTGGCCTTGCATGGTTAGGATGTGAAAGTCAATCTTACCATTACATCCTGAATAGTTAAGAGGATCCTTTCTTTGTCCGTACAGCTTGGAGGGTCAAGGTGTCCATGTGAGTTCGGAAGGGAGAAATTAAAATCACAGGGCGTGGTGCTGGTGGGAGATTTGGTACCCTAGGGACAAGCAGAGAGAACTGGGCATGGTAAAAAGCAACTGACAGCTCTGGAGGTGTACGGGGCCCTTTTTCTATCAGTCTCTGTGCCTCACGTCTCCCTCCTCACTAAGTCATTCTCTGTTTTTGCTCACAAAGCTGATCTGATAAAACTCATCCCTGCTTTATCAACACCATTGCAGGAACACAGCTGGTAAATGGACCGGGATTCAAACTTAGGCCGCCAACAATCTAAACAGCACTTGGAGCCACTGGGTTCAGATGACTGAGTGAGGACCGGTGTGGTGAGATGGCCCTGGCATGATGTTTTGACTTAAAAAGGCTGGGACTATCGGGGGAGGATGGGTGGGAGAGTATAGCTCAGTGGTGGAGCATAGCTCAGTGGTAGAGCACATGCTTAGCATGCACGGGGTCCCAGGTTCAATCCCCAGCACTGCCATTAAAAATAAATAAACCTAATTACCAACCCCCCAGTTTTTTTTTAAAGTGGGACTATCAAATAGTGTTGATGGTATAATCCCATTTATGTGGAAAGAACAATAAAAAAAATCAAGGAAAAAAAAAAGGCATTTGCTCAAAGGTTATTTATATGGTAACCTTAAACAGAAGTTCCCAAGCAATAGAACTGCCCTAGAAACTATCCCCTCCTTTTTCAGTCTCACCATTGAAATTAATGAAGGGTGACTGAAAGGATTTGCTGAAGAGCCCCGCCAGGGACAGAGGGGCTGGGCTGTTCCCCTGGGGGGTGTTTGGCCCGACAGCACAGCTGCCTCGCCTACACAGCACTCACAGGTGGGTGAACCGCAATGGGCCCCCGGAAGAGTCCACACGTGGCACTGCTGGTGGCACGTGGGTTGAGACAGGTCTTTAGTTGTTCATCTGTGTCAGCAAGTAACAAGGGCTGTAAAACACTGACTTGTAATTGTGGGCAAATATCCAATTCATGCCACCCCAGGATCCACACAATAGAGAAGGCACACGGAGAAGGCATTCCAGCAGATGTCAGGAGGGGCTGGCGGGGCAAATCTTCTTCCCATCCCCTGTCATGCTCTCGAGGACTGACAACTAAACATGGAAACCACCACTCACTGGGAATAGGCCAGGACCAGAACCTTCCAGATCACCTACCTTGCCTTGGGTATAATTAATATATGCTTTCAATGAATATAATGGGTATATGCAATTTTTAGTCTGGATGGTTATATACCCACCCATCCACAGGAACCATCTCTGGGGCAGTGGGAATATGAAAGGACTTTACTTTGTATCATTTGAATTTTTAATGCTGATCATGTATTATCAGGGAACAAAGGATATCTTAATAGTAGAAAAAAATTTAAAAGTTCATTCTTGGTTCTTAAATGAAACTGAAAGCATTTAAATGGAGCCTAATCATCCATTGTGACACACAGCCCAAGAAAAACCAATGTGACCAAGACCTGGAACTTTGGTGGAACTCTCTAGAAAGAGGCATCTTTCTTTCCCTGGAGTTGTTAAACTGCTCTCTGACTCAAAGTAGAACCCCTCATCTTCACCTCAGTGCTCAAAGCCCTCAGCCATCTGAGCATTGAGTACTTCTCTGGCCTCACTTCCTTGCTCGCTCAGCTGCAGCCACAATGGCCGCCCTGCTGTCCACCTGCCTCAGGGCTTTGGCACCTGCTGCTCCCTGTATTTGGAAGCTCTTCTCCTCCTGCTCACTCCCCAGCTCCCTTCTCCTCCACTGTCGTTTAAGAATGGGGTTCCCAAATCTTTCCATTTTTCAAGAGGAGTCCCCAGTTCAGATTTTGACATGGAATTTCCTAATTCTTAAAAGTCGGCTTGTAATTCACATCTTTCAAAAGCACAGTCAACGGCGGGTAGAGGCCAACAGAACCCGGATGTACATGACAGTCTGTGAACTCAGAGCGCCAAGAAACTGAAGTTGACTAAGGAGACGATGGAAGGTGAAAAGGCTGGTGTGTTTTAACAGTGAAGGTCAGATGAAAAGTGCACACGCAGACAGCAATTCCTTTTGCTCCACGTCAGGCTGTGCTGGCGAACAGTGTGAAGGGGGCTGAGTATATTTAGCCACATGCTTGTTTTTCCCCCTTCCCTGTTCAGATTGCATCTCTTAAGGCTTCTGCCTTTGCCCCAAAGTGGCATGGCCATTTTACTCTTTCACTTAGCAGGAAAATAACTCCAAGGGGAAATTGACTGTGTAGCCTTACGGAGTGCCCCCTCAAGACGGGGAGAAAAAAGGGAAGGAAGAAATACAATCAAGCACTCACGGCGGAGAAAATTAAGTGCAGGCGAGCAGGGCGACGCTGATTCGGAGCACGCGCGCCCAGGAATGCTAATGGAGCTTAATAGCTTGTGAGGGACAGGCTGCCTGGCGTTGCAGGGAGCTTGGGGGCTTGCAAAGGAAGGAATATATGTCCATTTAACCGAGGTACCAAATGGCCAAAGGAGAAGAGGGAAGTACCATGCCTCTTGCTTGAAGGACATGCAGGCATTCTGAGACATGGGGCAGGGCTAGGGCTACAATAGACTGAACCTGGCTGCGATCCAGCCTCCCCAACTAAGAGAGGCCGATGGCTGTTTGCACAGACTGATCCTGAGCGGGGGGCTGTTTGGTTGATTCAAAAGCAAGTATGTGGGTGGGTGTGTGTGTGTTGTGTGAGAGGTGGGTGTTAAAGGTAATAAAGTCCACAATTTTGCCCACTGTAAAATCACATTTCTGTGGACTGTTTAAGGTGATAAGGTCACTGGGTCATTCCATACAAAAGGACTCTTTTTTGCCAGGAAGACAAACATTTGCAATTAACTTTCAGAATGTTTGTAGCCAGAATGTGAAACAAAAGTGATCCCTTGCTCTGTAATTGTCCATCCTTACAAGCTAAGACGGAAACACCAATGTGCAATGGTGATCAGACGAGTGTTTCCTGGATGGCATCCGCATCTCCTTTGTGAATCATTTTCATTTCAGAAAAGCAGGTTTAGGGTACAGAAGTGGCACACAGAACGAAGATTTTGTCCTTCCGATGAGGCTCTTGGAATCTATAGCCTGGGCCCATGGCTGAACAGTCTCATTCTGGCAAACAGGGCAGGACTAGCTTAGCAACTTGACTTTGCCTCCTTCCTAAAATTTAGCTTGTACATAACCATAGAGATGATCTACACACTCATTCTAATTATAAAAGCAATGCCCTTGAAATAAAATCCAATGCTCCATCCTTACCCTCACTAGGCTCACTGCGCATGCCGTGGTCTGCCCCGCTGCCCCTTCAACCGCATCTCCTTCTGACTGCCCCTTGCTTACAACACGCCTGCATTGAGCGCCTTGAACAAGCCCAGCCTCACGTCATCTGTGCTTGCTGTTCCCTCTGCCTGGAATGCTTTTCCCATTGATCGCTCCCAAGCTGGCTCCTTCTTATCCATCAAATTTCAGCTGAAATGTCACACCTGGGAGAAGTGTTCCTTCTCTCTCCCCTGTCTAATGCTCCCACTTTCCCACACTGTCCCATCCCCATGCTAGCCCATCTCCCCCTTGTTTTTCCCCCTAGAACATATCAATACCTGAAATGATCACATTATTTATTTCTTGGTTTTATTCTATATTGTCTGCCTCCTCCTCTAGAACATAAATGGCTTAAGAATTGGTCCCCTGTCAGTTTTGTTCATTTCTGTGCATCTAGTGCCAAAGACAGAGCCTGATGCTCAAAAGTAGGTGACCAACAAATGCTTGTTGAGTGGAAGCCTGGGATACACTGTTGCAGTTTCAAGGATTTTAGAAGTGAAATGATATTCCAAATATTTAACAACAGTTGCATGCATACAGGGGAGGCCAGGCTGAGGATCAGCTCAGCTCACTTACCTTCACTTCCTTGGCCCTCACACTCTTACCCAGCTTTTAGAAACCAGGCAAATGTCACTCCCTCCAGGAAGCCTTCCTAGATGCTCTACACCCTGTCCTACCTCTTGGCTCCCTCTTGCAGTAGAGGGATTATGTGCTGTTGCCTCTTTTGGCCTCTGGACACTGGGTACCTAGTGGAGTGTCTAGCAAATGATTTGGATACTCGTTAGTGTGAAGGAGGAGTGAAGGAAGGCAGGCGATCGAGACGGAAGGAATGAGAAACTGTTAGAATGAGCCCCCAAAAGCCACTGTAGCACCGAGCAGGGGCCAGTCCTACCTGTGGACGGTCCCTAGAAGCATCCTTTTCCCTGACAGTCACATCCCCACATGGCTCAAAATCTTCCGCACTGTCCAAAGGGGGTTCGATGTGGAGCCGCGGGCCAGCTTCTGTTCTGATCTGCACAGATTTCTACACACAAAAAGTCAGACAATTTCAGAGACAGCGGAATGAACACCTTGATTCCTCCAAGAGGTGGGCGCTGTTGGGGCTCACTGCCAGGTGGCATGCCTACAGGTGACAGCAGTTGGGTCAGGATGCACCTGACCCGCGTCATCCCGTGCAGGCCGGCCTGGATGCGTCACACCACCCCCACTCAAGTCTTTACTGAGTCCTCCTGCCCGAAGTCTGCAGCAGAATTTTTTTAGTAGTTTTTTTGTCTTGAAATAACTTATCAGTAGAATTTTAATAGGTGTTAAACTACTAATCAAGTAAGTTTAGGAAAGCCCTGGTTTTTTGGCCAGGACTTCTTGGGGCCTTTAATATGCACCCCGACCCACTCCTCCACACACACACTGTGGATATCTTAAAATAGAATACAGGATGGAACATATCCCAGACTTTTGGGGCCATGGAAGCTGTGTAGTGGGGCCTCTTCCTCCTAGCATTCGTCAGATCATTCTTCGGGAAACCCACTCCTTGGCCTGGTGTGGCAGCCCGCAGGCTGTCCCCCAGTGTCCGTTTCCCCTTCCTCTCTGGCACTGAATTTCCAGATGTGCACTTGGCACTCCCAGTGTCCCCTGCGGCTGGGCGGGAGCAGGTGAACACATTCCCGCTCATGAGGTGTGTATGTCAGAGAGGGGTGTGTGCATCTTTGAGGCTGTGCCTGGAGGGGAAGGGGATGCCCTTCCCTGCTCCTTGCCCTGCTCCCCTTCCCGTCAACTGGAATGAGGAGGTGGCCGTAAGCTGCTGGGGACTGTAGGGAGAAGGCACCATCTGGAGGAAGCTGGAGGGACAAAAGAGGTTGTGTCCAGGTTCCTCCGAGACTGTTCGGAGCAAGGTGCATCCCCACTGCTAAACTGCTGTTGGAGACATCACCTGCTGTGTTGTTTAAGCCACTCTTGTTGGGGTCTCCTTGCTTTAGCAGCCAGACCTGTACCCTAGACAGTAAAACAGGGCAGGCAAAGTTCTCTACAATCCAGCCCCAACCTATCTTTCCTCCACTGAGCCCTGTGCACACACACACACATCTGACACTCCGGGCCAAGCACAACTGCTTCCCATACTCCCAGGATCTGCAGCTTTGTCAGCCCAGCATCCATTCCCCGGCCTTCAGGAAATGCCTTCCTCACTTCCCTCCCCCACTGTCAATCCACGTGTGGTCCAAGGGAGGGCAGGAGCATGACTCCGGTCTGGCCAATCAGTCTATTCCATCCCTCACAACACACCCTGGCCAGCGGTTCAGGGGCAGGAACAGACCTAAGGCAGCCAATGAAAGTGGCCCAAGACATCTTGCTAGAGCCGTGGGAGGAGGTGCTCTCTTCCTGCAGGGGTGCTGAACTAAAGTCAGGCCTGCCAGGAGCTGCTGGGGACCATCCTGCCCCTCCCACAGAGATAAAGACAACAGAGAGACTGAAGTAGAGTCCTAGTGGATTTGTTTAGGACCCCTGGATCCAGCCATGCCTGAAACAAGACACCACAGAAACTCTCTTTTGCTTAAGCCAATGCAAAGAGGATTTATGTTATTTGCGACAAAGTCTGGACTCTCGCCTGCGCCCTAAGCTCTCCCACTCTGTGTGTTTGCTCAGGCTATTCTCCCAATCCTAACACCACCCTCCCAAAACTTCTCCATGTATCCAAGTCCTACTGAAACTTTGGAGACACTCTCTGCCCACCCAACAGCCATCCACCGCCCTCTCCATCCTGACTTAATGGAACCCAAATTCTATCGAGGTGGCAATGAGCCCCCTGTAAGATGGTCATGTCACTGGATGCCTTTGCAGCTGGGATGGCATGTGAGGTAGATGGGAGTGGCTGGAGGAGCTGCCGAGGACGCCACTGTCATCTTGTGAATCAAGACTCAGTGACAAGGATTTTTGCCCTTCATCTTTCTACCTTTCTTCCTGACGAAATGTACATGATGTTTGGGAGCAGAGTAGCCGTCTTCTGAGAATAAGAAAGCAAGCCACACACTAAAAGCCTAGCGGAAAAACAGGAGGAGCCTGGGCCCCGGGGGGCATCAATCACCCATCCCACCAACCCGGCTGCCTGGCTGCCTCCAAATGCCTTCTTCACATGAGAGGAAAAACAACGAGTCTGTAAGCCCCAGTGGTCCAGGGTCCGTTACGTGAAGCTGAGCTGCATCCTCGTGGATAACCCTCTCCCAGGCACCTGTCGCTCTTCGTGGCTGTTTTAGAGTTGCTCACGTGTGATTTAGGGCCCAGGTTCTAAACTCACCCAGATGGGTTCACTTCCTGGAACCCTGATGATTCTTCCCTGTGCAGCCCTGGGCAAGTCATGTACCCTCACCGAGGACCAGTTTCCACATCTGTTAGAGCGGCACTAACACCACCTTCCTCACAGAACTGCCACGGGGATGAGTCACAGGGATGGGCTCAGCCCTCGACGAGGGGCTGTGACACACAGCGCACTGGGGCTGCACGATTCACCTTATGTGGCATCAACTCACCCTGGGAACAGACCTCCCCTCAAGTGTATGTTCCGTCCACCATGGACCCAGGAACCAGATGCCGGTATATCTGTGAGTCAGCTAAAGAAACGGCCCCTGGTTCAATGCTCTGACTCCAGCATCAGCTGCGCTCGCTGGACCTGGGACCAGGGCAGGGTGAGCCAGGCACCCAGGGAGCAGCATCTAAGGAGGTGCCCCCTAGCAGTGAGGCCGTGCAGGTGCACGAATCCGAGAGCCAGGGCCTTTTTAAATCTGAGAGACAGAAGAGGTCCATCAAGCCACGTGTACTGGACCTATTTCCCAGCCAAGAGACAGTCAAGGGAGATTTAGAGCATGCATTTCCCTTGATGCTCCAGAGTTAGAACCTTCCACTCCTGGGTTAAGACTCAGCTTCCTCACAAGCTTAGAGAACTGAACTATTATGTTGATAATGAAGATTGCGAGCCTTATTGCCCTGCAGGACTCTCCTCCATTAGAAGGGAACTCCTTTCTCATCCGTGTCCACACTGCCCGGGCTCCCACTCCCCGCCGTCGGTGTTTTCACACTGGGCACCACTTAATGCAGACCGGGTGCCACTCCAAGAGCTTCAGGGGCCTTTGCTCGTTTAGTCCTCACGGCAACACCAGGGGGAAACTGATTCATGAGAGTGTATGCCGCGTGCCCAACGTCACACAGCTAGGAAGTCACAGAGTCTAGATTTGAACACCAGCAGTGGCTCTGGGGGCCTTACCCAAAACCAGGGAGGGGCCAATGTTTCTTGTAAAGAGTAAATATTTTAAAGCTTTGCCAGTCCTCTGGTCTTTGCACAATATTCAACTGTCCCATCGTAGCTCAAAACAGCCATGGATAATGCCTAAATAAATGGGGTGTGGCTGTGCCCCCAAAATACTTTCCTTACAGAAACAGACTGTGGCCAAATTCGGTCCAAGGGCTGTAGTTTGCTGAATGACCCTGGATCTGAACTTCCACACTATATGGCCCCCACCAGGCACGTGAAGAAGAAATATATCCATTCTGGGCCACAGTGGCCTTTGGGGAGAATAGAGACGGATTCAAGAATTTCCTGAGAATATTTAACACCAAAAGGGCAGGGGCTCGGCTACAAAATCATTCCAGGAAAAGACCTTGGAGAGTGTAAGAGGCAGAAAAAGGCAGGCAGGGAGCCCCCCATCAGAGAATGGGGAGGGGGCAGAGGTGCAGAAGGAAGGTGCCCTGGGACACTTTTCCTTCCGCAGGAGATCCTATCGCATGGCGATGGCCCCCTAGACTCCAAGTGCGCCTTGCTGTTTCTGGAACTGTACACTCCATCCCGTCTTCTTTCTGACCATCAGCCTCATTGCCTTGGGCTCTGGCACCAAGTGTGGTGTTGCTGCTCCCCAGGCTTCATCAACTTGCTTTCAGAGCATCTGTTGGTGCCAGCAGTGGGGTCCGTGGAGAGCAAGCATCCCATGGAATCTATGAAACTGGAGCTTTGAGACCAGGAGACTCCTGGGGGCTTTCCTGCCTCGGGCCAGGATGAAGCTGTGAAGGCTTTGAAATTCACGGCTGGGATGGATTTTCCACAATGTGTGTCTCCCTCCTCCATGGAACCACTCAATAACGCTCAAATGCAAACAGCACAAGAGAGGAGGGAGGGAAAGGAGGGAGAACGGAGGGAGGACCACCAGGCAGGCCTGGGGAGCAGCCTGGCCCCTCCATGGGTTTCTGCTCCTTTCTCTGGAGAGGGAGGGCTGGGACTAGGACCTCGCTACTCCACGTGCCATCCAAGGACCAGCAATGATGGCTTCTCCTGGGCATTTGTGAGAAATGCAAAATTTCAAGCCCCACCTCAGACCTAGGGATCAGAATCTGCATTTTAGCAAGAACCCAGGTGGTTTCTATGCATGTTAAAGTCGGAGCAGTGTGAGATCAGGAGGACCATGAGGTTTTGCAGTGGGCGAAATTGTTTCTGCCTGTCCGGCATGCATTCCCCTGTCTTCTGCTGAAAGTACCCTGGTTTTCTTTTTGGAAATCCTCCCCATCCCCACCCTCAGTCCAAGTGTTCATGTGGAACTGAGTCTAGGGATAGATGGAGCAAATGACCCAGGCCTGGCCTGTCTGAGCATTAGATCCCACTGGTCTACAGTGTCTGGGTGATTGGTTTGGGGAAGCCAAAGAAATGAAGCAGCAGGTGACAGGGTTGGGAGCTGCTGGTGGCCATCTTGTTTCACTCAGAGCAACATGCGGAAAAGCAGAGTTGGGTGATGGAGAATGAGCCTGGTACATTGTCTGAGCACCTGGATCCAGCCATGCCTGAAGTGGGTATTTCCCCACTGGCAAGTAAGAGAGGCAAGATTAATGCAGCTCTGCTAGACTGTTTTGAATTATAAACATGAGAAAGAGCTCAGCATTCAAGAAGAGTCCACATATGTCCCTCTGTTCTGCAGCTTTTCCATCCTCAATTTCCCTAGAAGTATCTCCCTCCCAAAAGCTTAGCATGACTGCTTGCCTCCCCAAGATGTC